GCGGGGCCAGAACCATGACAAACTAGAGGCTTCGAGGCTCTATCCAGAGCCGCGCTGGCAAAGATTCAAATCGGCGGCGCGGCGCGAACAAGATGGCATCAGAACTCGGCGACAGCGGTGCGGAAGAATGCGAGTAAAGGCACAGCGGGCGAGAGCATCTGCCGCGGCGTGGGCCCCATCGGCAAGGCGTGCTACTCGGCGCGGGTGAGAAGAAACAGGGGATGCGCGCAGCGACCAAGACTGCGGCTTCATCGGAGGGCGGAAGGAAGCCGCGCTGACTGCGGCAGCGGTGGAAAACAGGGCGAGACGGGCAGGCAGAGATTACGCGCCCGCGCCAGAGGACGCGCCCAACGCCTTCGCGAGCTGCTCGCGGCTGGCCATGGGCGTGGTCAACAGCCAGATGCGGCCGGAACAAGAGAGGGGCACGGCGAAGCAAAGGCATCGCCGAGCCACTTTCAATGTGCCGCGCAGGGGCGCGGGCAAGGGGGCGCGCTCCAAACGGCGCTGCGGAGGGCTCATGTGAGACCCGCGCGCGGCCCGCGACTTCGCGGCGAGCTTCGCTCGCTGCATCCAGAGATGGGTAGAATGCGGCAAAGAGAAGGTCGAGAGTGGCAGCCGCCTGCGCGGCAAGTGCGAGCTGGCCCGGTCCACCTCGACCATGCCAAGCACGCAGACGACCTCGGGGGGCTGGCCCGAGTTGGCAACGGCGCAAACGCGCGGAAGCTGGCGGGCGCGGCGCAGAAGGTAGACGAGAAGCTCGACGCGAGGCTGAAGGAGATCGGAGCGCGGCAGACACAGGACGATCAGGGTAACATCGCGCACTTCCGACGCGACGGCGCCATTCAGGCGAGACGAGATCTCGAGGGGAAGCCCCGCTGCGAGATGCCGGGCGCATCGCCTGAAGCAGCGCGCCGCCTGGGCCCCTGGGTCGCGGCGGTGCAGGGCTAGCCCGCGGAGCTCCAGGCGCGCTCTGGCGATCAGAAGGGCCACTACGTGCGCGGCTGTATTTGGGCGACGGCCGGCGCCGCGTTCAGATGGAAGCGCGCGGTGCTGATCTGCCGGGTCGTCGACGAGGGCCTCTTCGTGCGTCGAGTGCTCTGTCTTGTCGCCTAGCGCGCGCTCGCGGCTGCAGAACGCGAGCGGCGTGCCCCTCCAACGGGTTGCGAGAGGAGAAGCTACTACTCACCGTCGAGACGGCAGCCCGAAGATCACGGCCACTTTGGAGGTCTTTCGCCGCTCTCAGATCATGCCACCGGCAGAATAAGCACTGGCCCGAATGCTTGGCCGGGGGCGATTGTCTGGATTTTCCCGTGTGGCCGCCGCCGGCCGACTGCGGCGACGTTCGGCCCGAGGCCCGAAAACCATCTTTTCATTAATTTTGGGCCCCGGGGCTCACTGAGGCCCCAGGGGCCCCAGATTAGTGAAGTGAGGTTTTTTCCCGCGCAAGGGCCCCGAAATTCATCGCTTCACTCGACCGAACCCAGGACGAAAGTCAGGGGCCGAATTTCTGCTGTGAAGCCACATCGGCCTCGTATTCGGCCGAATCGAATTCGAGAGGTAGAACGACGGCGACGACTCGACCGGCGTGCTCGAGAGCGACGCGAACCCCCGGGCTGGAAGACCTGGCGAGCGACGTTGACAACGCCCGCGAGGTTTCGAATAATCGTGGCATGGCCGCCGGCGACGAGATCTCGATCGGCAATTTTTTCGCGCTGAGCGCATTGGGGCAACTGCATCTCCTGGTCGCCAGGGAAGTGAGATCAGCAGAGCCCGCAGCGGCCGCGCCCCCTCCTGGAGCGGGGCAAAGCGGCGAACTGAAAGTGGAAGGCCCCGATGGGGATTACAACCGTAGAAATGCGAATCCAAGGTGAAGAATGGGGGTGCGGGGGCGCGGACTTTTAGATGCAATCATGAAGGCACTTCGCAGCCGCGCCATGCGAATTCATTGCGCACATAATCTAGCATCAGTTCCATCACTAAATAATGAGTGAGTGCATCAATTGCGGGTGAGTATTCATGAGCAGAGGCACAGCATGGAAAGCATTCGGCGACACGCAACGCGGAAGGCTGCTGCAACCGTGCCGCGCCAGAATCCAAGTCCTGCCAGAACCCCGCAATCCGAGATGCCCTGCATGTTGCCGTGTGGCTTCGGACAATTGGAGTTGCTTCGGACGTGTGCGCGCGCGCGCTTTCCGACGCAGCTGCCGCTGCCTAGAGAGCAGGGCGGAGCCGCTCGGAGACCGCAGCGGGGCGAGGCGGCGCCGGCGGCGGGGCAGGCGCGCCGGGTCCGAGGCAGACAGGGGCGGCGAGCGCCCGCGCAGCACCCGGCAGCCAGGCGGTAGACCTCGCGGCGCGCTTGGCACTCGCACTAGGCAGGGGGCAGGCGGCGCTGCAGACGCAGGAGATCTTGGCAGCCGCGAGCGCAGCAATTGCGGCGCTCGACAGCGGCGCGGACTCGAGCGACGACGGGCAGCTTAATATTGATAAGTTGACGCGGTCTCCCCCGGCAGCCCGCGCGCGAAGATTTGGACGGGCGTCGCGATCTATTTGGGGCGCCACCTGGAGGGCGGGGCGGCGGAGCAGTTCATCGTCCTCAGTGCCGACCGGGAGCCAGTGGCAGAAATTGCCTCCGTCTCCAGAGCGAGACGCAACGAGGGCAAGGAGGGCGGGGCGGCGGAGAAGAGCAGGTTCCAGTTTTAGATGAAGCATGTTCATTGTCTGCCCGAGACCATCGCAAGCTTTGGAAGGAGGGCGCCTCGCGCAAAGTGGGAGCGGCGCCTCGGAGAGCGCTGGGGCGGGAGTTGGGCAGGCTGGTCAGCGGTTGAGGGCTCAACGAGAACGTCGAGGTGAGGCCGCGGAGGCCGCCGAGCAGGGTGCGCAGCTTCGCCCCATTCTGCAGACCTCCCCCCCCCGTGCTGTACCGAGAGTTTTCGAGACGAGCGTTCGCTTTCGCAACTAGTGCAGAACGATGACCTGCCCCCTCCACCTCAGAAGGGCGCCCAAGATATTTTTCAGATCCTGGGGCCGAGTTGCCCTAACTATTTTGTGATGCGCAGACCCGTCCCCCCCCCCTTCCCCCGAACCGCGACGAAAGGGAAGGGTGGATGGGGGCCAATGCAGAAGCAGGGAGAAGCAGCAGGCATGGCATCTGCAAACGCGGGTGCTACCCTGCCCGCGGACCTCTGCGTGGGGAGGTCGGTGCAGGTAGGGTCAGAGCGCCACGTGGCGCCAGCGACTCCTTTCCACGAGCTGAACACAGCAAGGCCGTATCATATTTGCGAATGCAGCTCAGCTCTAATCGAGGGGGAGTAGCGCCGCACTGGCCCGAGAGATCGATCGATGGATCCCTGTCCTCCTCTTCCTTTTCCTTTTCCTCCTCTTCCTCCTCCTCCTCCTCTTCCTCCTCCTCCTCCTCCTCCTCCTCCTCCTCCTCCTCCTCCTCCAAGGGGTGCCCTAAACTCCTGGGGCCCAGGAGTCCTGGGCCCAGGAGTCCTGGGCCCAGAACTCCATGGGGGGGGCCAGGACTCCTGGGTCCCAGATTCCAGGGGAACCATGGATTCCTGAACCCAAGACTCCAGGGGGGGGCCCAGGACTCCTGAGCCGTAGACTCCAGGGAAAGGAGTCCAAGACTCATGGGCCTTCGATGTAAAAGAGACCCTTCGCTTGAGTGAACATCGTTTTCGTTTTCTTGGGCTCTTGGGGGGCCCTTGTCGCCTTTGCCGGATTCGTGTCCAAGTTGTTGGTCAAAACGCGCTCGGGAAGAGGCCCGGGGAAGGTCGACTAGACGTAAAATTGACCTTTCGCCAAAGTGACTCTTTGAGCGGCCCAATGGGTCGCCATGGGCAAACGGGCCCTGAGGGAGACGGGTCCTGAGGTTTTTGTTGTCCGTTTTCGGGCCCTTGGGCCTTCCATTGGCTATGAAATTGTCAGAACACGGCTCGGGACAAACATTTCATCATGGAGAGGAGCACCACAACTCGTTTCTTTCAGCACCCAGCAAGTGACAAACATTGGCCTCGAGGAGTGAGCAGTATAGTGCCGGAGTAAGAGGAGGATGAGGAGGAGGAGGACGAGGAGGAAAGGAGGAGGACGAGGACGAAAAGGAGGAGGAAGAGGAGAATGAGGAGGAGGAGGAGGTGGAGGAGGAGGAGGAGGAGGAGGAAGAGGAGGAGGAGGATCAGGAGGAGGAGGAAGAGGAGGAGGAAGACGAGGAGGAAGAGGATGAGGAGGAAGAGGAGGAAGATGAGGAGGAAGAGGAACTGAGGAGCTGAGGAGCTGAGGAGCTGATGAACTGAGGACCTGAGGAGGACCTGAGGAGGACCTGAGGAGGAGGTGAGGAGGAGCTCAGGATGAGCTGAGGAGGAATTGAGGATGAGCTGAGGAGGAGCTGAGGAGGAGGAGGAGGAGGAAGAGGAAGAGGAGGAGGAGGAGGAGCTGAGGAGTGAGGAGAGGAGAGGAGGAGGAAGAGAGGAGGAGGAGGAGGAGGAGGAGGAGGAGGAGGAGGAGGAGGAGGAGGAGGAGCACGAGAGGGAGGAGCGAGAAAATCGAGGAGGGCAACGAGGGGATGAGGAGGAGGAGGAGGAGGAGGAGGAGGAGGAGGAGGAGGAGGAGGAAGGAGGAGGAGGAGGAGGAGGAAAAAGGGGGCAGGAGGAAGAGGCGGAGGAGGAGGAGGAGGAGGGGAGGAGGAGGAAGAGGAGGAGGAGGAGCTGAGGAGGAGCTGAGGAGATGGGAGGAGGAGGAAGAGGAGGATGAGGAGGAGGAGGAGGAGGAGGAGCACGAGGGGGAGGAGGAAGACGAGAAAACGAGGACAACGGGAGGAGGAGGAGGAGGAGGAGGAGGAGGAGGAGGAGGAGGAGGAGGAGGAGGAGGAGGAGGAGGAGGAGGAGGAGGAGGAGGAGGAGGAGGAGGAGGAGGAGGAGGAGGAGGAGGAGGAGGAAGGGGAGGAGGACGGAAATCCGTAGCCATTTTGGCTCACGCCAGGTGCCCTGCGCCATCGCTGTTGGGTTCGACGGCGGCGGGTGGAGCTGGCATGGTGCCTGCGGGAGTCGCCCCGTCGGGTGGCGCCATGTGTTTGACCCGTGCTGCGCGGAGGTCGCGAGCACGTGTTTCAGCAGATCGTCTCGTTCATCGGCTATCTCGTGGTGTGGACCAGATCACAGGCCCGTTGAAGCTGGCAGAGTCAGCGCTCTCGCTCATGGTGGGGAACTCGGAGGTCGGGTCGCGGCTTCGGGCGGTGGTACCTGCGGTCCTGGCCCTCGTCAGTGCAGAGGAGCCGAAGTGGCTGCACATGTTGCACAGGAACGTCGCGCTGCACTCTGACGCGAGGGGCATCGACGTGGAGCATGCCTTGGTTGCCCAGCTTCGCCGTGCGCAGCACGGAGCTCGGCTGGAGGCGAGGAAGCGCTCCGAGTCTCGTGGGCCGCCCGAGTTCCCCGAGAACGGCCGTGCACCAGACTTCGTGTCGGCTGCTGGCTCCGTCCGTGCAGGGCTCCGGCGTCATGCAGCCCCCTTCTGGCCGCAGAGGCCGCCTGGAGTTTGGGGCCCACCGACCGCGCAGCTCCTGGTCGGTGCGCTCGGCTGCGGCTCCGACGGCGCCCCGGAGGGCTCGCGGGGAGCCCCAGGGCCGCCCCCCGACGACGGGCCCACGCAGGGGAGGACTGCCCTGCCGCTGCGGCCGCTGCCGGAGGCCGCTGCCGAGGCACAGGCAGAGGCGGAACGACCTGACGTGGAGGATCTGTAAGAACGGTTTTTTGAAGGCAAATCTGCCTTCAAAAGAACGGTTTTTTGAAGGCAGATCTGCCTTCAAAAAACCGTTCTTACAGAGTAGACGAATTTTTTGAAGGCAGATCTGCCTTCAAAAAACCTCTCTTACAGAGTAGACACAGCCAGGGTGGCGCCCGACCCTGCCTGCGGCGGCGAGCGCTCACACTGCTCCGAGGGGCGCGTGTTGCAGCACAGGGGGGCCAACGAGTGCGTGGAACCGGTGCCCTGCCCCGAGCGCGGCCGCGACGTCCCCGACGGCTGCAACATGTTCCTGTGCGGGTCCGAGGATTGCGTTGGCTGCGTCTGCTAGGACTGCGTGCATCCAGCCCTCCGGCAGCGCGGTCCGCCTTGTCCGATGATGGTGCAGAAGCCGCCCGCATCATGACCCACGTCATGGCGGCGGAGGCGCAGCTGCGCAGCTGGGAGGCGCGCTGCAGCGCTTTCAAGACGGGCCTGTTCGTGGCGGCCCGCTGCCTGCTGGACAGGTTTCCTTCGGCGGGGCAGGTGACGCGGGATGCTGAGGTGACTTTTTCTCTTGTCGGCCCTTCTGCCCGCGCAGGTCGTGGCGGACCCTGAGTCGTACGGTGTCCCGAGCTCGTCTTCTCTCTCGTGTTCGGCATGCAGCAGTCCGTGCACTTCTTCTTTTGGGGCCCGAGTGTCGGTCACCGACCCGCTTCGGCATGGGAAATGAGAAATGAGAGGGAGGACGGAGGAGGAGGAGGAGGAGGTGGAGGAGGAGGAGGACGACGACGAGCATAAGCGAGGAGGGCGAGAACGAGGACGACGAGGACGACGCTAGCGACGCGAACCAGGAGCATAACGAGGAGATGCCGGCGGAGGTGGGGGGTCTCGACAAGGTCGACTAGACGTAAGGGTGACATGTCGCTGGAGTGACCTTTGGAGCGGGCCCAATGGGTCGCCATGGCTGGGTGAAGCGGGCACTGAAGGAAACGGTTCCCGAGTTTTTTCCCATTTTCGGGCTCTCGGGGCCTTTCGCGGGCCACGGGACTGTCAGAAAACGACTCAGGATGAAGACGCCGTCTTTCGGGAAAGGCACCAGGGTCCCGGACGAAAAACAAACAGCTGCATAGACATTCATATTTGACGGTCCGCGCGGATTTCCCGGATCGGCGTTGGGACCCCGTGGCAGTGCTTGTGGCGCCCTCTGCGCGCCAGGGAGGGCGGTCCAGCGCAAACCCAAGAAGTCCGCGCAGAGCTCGGACAGTTTATGTTTATGCCGCGGTTCGTTCCTCAACCTGGGAGGTTCGACGAGGTAAGAGTGACCTTTCGCCGGTTTGATTTTTGGTGCCCGCCCACTGGCAGTTGGGTGTGACCCCCCGGGAACACCTCATTGGTTTTTTGTTTTGTCTTGTTTGGTTTCCTCCGTTTTTTTTGTTCTCAGTTGTTTGGGCCCTTTGGTGTTTTTTTTTCTGCGTTTTTGCGGGAACGGGAAAACCCCGAAACACCCCAATTCGGGTTCTTTTCAGTGTTTTTGTTCTGGAGTTGTTCCGTATTTTTTTTGCTCGGCGTTTTTCGGGGGGGATGACTTCGAACAACCGCCCAACTCGTTTTTTGTTGCTGGTTTGTTGTTGTTGTTGTTGTTGTTGTTGTTGTTGTTGTTGTCGAAAGTTCTCTGGGAGGTGAAACTTCAGACAACAAAAACCCAACTCGAAGGTTCTTTTTCCGAGGCTCCCCCCTCCGGGAAAATCTTTGAACAAAAACCAGAGTACAAATCACACCAATCCCCTTGAACAAAACGCGAGTTGGGGGTTCCCGAGGATGGGTTCGCCCGAATTGCGATTTGAAGGGGTTTGCCCGCTCGCTCCTGGTACCCCCCATTGAAAACCATTCAATTGTTTTTTGCCGTGTTTTTTTGCTTTTTGTTTCGGGTGGTTTTTGTTTTTTGTTTTGTTTGTTTGGTGTGTGTGTGTTCCAACGATACTGTTTTTTTCAAGTGTCGGGCCTTGGGAACTCACCAACAACTCCCCTGGGATCCGAAGGGGAAAACCATGGAACAAAAAAGCAACTCGGAAGTTGTTTGTTTTCCTGGCATGTTGAGGCTCCACAGTGACACTCACACCTATTTCAGAAACCGTCCCGGGGACCCCCCGGGAAAAAAAACATAATTCGGAGTGTTTTTTTTGTTTGCTTTGTTTTTTTGTTTTTCTTCCTTTCCCCCTCCGAGAAGGGAACCCCCGAAAAACGCTCCAATTCTTGGATTCGTTTTTGGTTGTTCGGGATTCTTGGGTTCACGCAAATAAAAACAATATTATTTCAGAACCTCAACCATCATTCTTTCAGAAACCCCACCGGGGAACCTTTTTGAAAAAAAATCCCAACTCGTAGGTTTGTGGGATTGTTGTTTGGATGTGCGTTTTTTTGCCAGATTTCCCAGACATGGTCTTGCTTGAACATGTCGAGCTCTGCACCCCCCCCGAAACACCCCGAGGTCTCCTTCCCCCCACTCCCCCGGAATCCGGTGGGAAAAACCAAAACAACTCCCAAATTCGGGGGGCGGAAACTCTTGAATAATCCCCCAGTTCCTGTGGTTTTTCTGTGGTTCAGGGGGGCCCCATATTCCAGAGAAGATTATGTTTGAACCCCTCCCAGAAAACCTTCGAACAGACACCAGCTCTGTTTTTTTCTATTGGTGTTTTCGGTGGATCTGGAGACCCAGAATTTTCTAAAACAAATCATGCTGGAAAGCCCGCGGCAAATCGCGAGTTGTTGTTTGTATTTTTTCTGGGGTTCTGGGCGCGCACATTTGAAACATACCCCAGAAAACCACCGAATAACTCCCCGAAACCGGGTTTGTTAATTTTCTGTTGGTGTTCCTGCGGCCGCACAGTTTACAACACTAGTATTTCTGAAACCCCTCCGGAAAACACCCGAACAAACTTCCAACTCTGGTTTAGTCCTGTGTTTTTTCAGTGAATTTGGGGCCCCGCAATGTAAAACGCTGGGGAAAAAAAGCAGACAACCTTCGAACAACCGATCACGTTTGGATTGCTCTAGTGTTTTCCAGGGGGGCATCCCAACTCGGTACTTTTTGTTTTGGCTTTTGTCTGGGATTCTGGTGCCCCAGAAATATGAACAATACTATGTGTGACCCCTCCTTGAAACATTCCCGAACATTTTTCCAACTCTAGGATTTTTCATGTTTTTTCGGGGGTTCTGGGGCGCTACCCTGAAACACAACATATTATTTTTGAAAGCCCAGCAGGAAACTCAGACAAACAACGCAACAACTCTGGGGCCGCCCGCCGCCCGCCCGCCCCCCGCCGCCCGTTCGCCGTGCTTCCGCGTTCAACACACCATCCAGTGCTCAACAGCGTCCGCCTCCAACACAGCACCGGGTACTCAAACAGCACCCGTCTCCAAAGCAGCACCCTGTATTCAACAGCATCCCGCTACGAGAGGAAATCCTTAGGAGTGTTGTTCAAAGCCCGATCCGCCCGCCGCTCGCCCGCCCGCCGCGCGCCCCCCGTCGCCCGCCCGCCGTGCTCCCGCGCTCAACCCAGCATCCAGTACTCAACAAATGTCCAGCTCCAGCACAGCACCCAGTACTCAACAGCTCCCGTCTCCAGCGCAACGCCCAGAATTCAGCAGCATCCCGCTGCGAGAAAGATTCGTTCTCAGATCCCGATCCGCCCGCCCGCCGCCCGCCCGCCCGCCGACCGCCCGCCCCTCGTCGCCCGTTCGCCGTGTTTCCGCGTTCGGCACAGCACAGGTTGCTCAACAACGTCCGTTTCCAAAACAAAGCCGGGTAGTCAACAGCCTCCGTTTCCAGCGCAACACCCAGTATTCAACTACATCCCGCTGCAACAGAAATAATCCTCAGGAGTTCTGCTAAACTCCCGATCCGCCCGCCCGCCGCCCGCCCGACCGCCGCCTGACCGCCGTCCGTCCGCCGCCCGCCGTGCTTCCGCGTTCAGCATAACACCCAGTACTCAAACAGCACCCGTCACCGACGCAACACCCAGAATTCAACAGCATCCCGCTACGAGAGAAAATCCTTAGGAGTGTTGTTCAAAGCCCGATCCGCCCGCCGCCCGCCCGCCCGCCGCCCGCCCCCCGCCGCCCGCCCGCCGTGCTTTCGCGTTCAACACAACGCCCAGTACTCCTTAGGCGATGCTTAAGAAAACTTAAGTTTTCGACCAGAGTCTCGATTATTCTTAATGTTTCAATGTAAATCCTAAGGTTTTAATGGAAACGTTGGGTTTTAATTCAAGTTCTGAGACTATGAATTTCTTAACCCATGATTGCTTAAGCATTTCGCAGGGTGAACTCAACAACGTCAGTCTCCAACAGCACAACACCGGTTACTCCACAGCTTCCGTTTCCAACACAGCACCCAGTATTCAGTTGCACCCCGCTGCAAGAGAGAGAATTTCCAGTAGTTCTACTGAACTCCCGATCCGCCCCTCCGCCGCCCGTCCGCCGCCCGCCCCCCGCTGCCCGCCCTCCGTGCTTTCGCGTTGAACGCACCAGCCAGTTTTTCACCACCTACCAGACCACCCCAACCCAACCCGAAGGCCTCAATTTGCCCTCCATTTCCAGTGGGGGGGGGTCGGGGAACGTCGAAAAAACACATGGAAACCGTACCCCCCCCAACCCGAAATTCGGGTCAAATTCGGGTCTTCGGGTTGGGTTGGGGTGGTCTGGTAGGTAGTCAGTTTTCAACAGCGTCCGTCTCCAACACAACACCCAGTACTCAACAGCACCCGTCTCCGACGCAGTACCCAGTACTCGACAGGATCCCGCTGCCAGAGATAAAATCTTTAGGAGTCGATGAAAATCCCGATCCGCCCGCCCGCCGCCCGCCCGACCGCCGCCTGACCGCCCGCCCGCCCCCCGCCCCCCGCCCGCCGTGCTCCCGTGTTCAACAACACCCAGCACTCCATAGCGTCCGCCTCCAACACAACACCCAGTGCTCAACAGCGTCCATCTCCGACACAACACCCAGTACTCAACGGCACCCGTCTCCGACGCAACACCCAGTGCTCAGCAGCAGTTCGCTGCCAGAGAGAATCCTCATAAGAGTTCATGAAAATCCCGATCCGCCCGCCCCCCGCCCGCCCGCCGTCCGCGCGCCCCCCGCTGCCCGTTCGCCGTGTTTCCGCGTGGTCTTCCAGCCCGTTCTTGTTTGCGCCGCCTTCCAGCCGGCCGAAAAAGAAGCAGTGGTCGTGGTCATTTCCCTGGTGCCAAGCCCAACGAAAATGACCGCAACCACTGCTTTGTTTCTGCTGGCTGGAAGGCGGCACCAAAAGAAAAGCAGTGGCTGAGGTCGTTTTTACGTCCCGTAACAACACCCAGTACTCAACAGCGTCTGTCACCAACACAACACCCAGTTTCAACAGCCCCCGTCGGGCGAGCGGGACAACCCCTCCAAATCGCAATTCGGGCGATTCCCCCCCGGACCCCCCCAACTCGGGGGTGTTTTTCGGGTTGTGTTCTGTTCTGCTTCGGGGAGGTTTTCGGATGATTTATTGGGGGGGAGCCCCCGGACAAAAGCTCTCGACTTGTTTTTTATTGTTCTTTTTTTCGGATGGTTGTTCTTAGATTTTCCAAAATACAGTTTTTTTTCCTGGGTGTTTCCCCTCGGAAAACAACCGACATGGGGAAGTTGTTCAAGATTTCCCCTCTAGGAGCACCTTAGACAAATCCCCGAAAACTTCCCGAACACATTGTT